TTTTCTTTTTGTCCCTTCTCACCAAGTCTTTCAAAACTTTAATAGATGTCCCTTGTAAATCTAATATTTTAAAATTATCCAAATCATTTCATGTTAGTTGTTTATATGTCCTTTTTAATTATTAAAATGTCAGCCAGTTTCATTTGTAAATTCAGTATTTTATCTTTTTCCAGATCATGCTTATAGTTTGTCATTTTAAAAATCCACATTCAGTTCTACTTCGGTTTTCTCTGATAGAACTTATTCCTCTTCCATAACATCATGTTATGGAATTTGTCTACGATGACAGACATTTTTAAAATTAATTTATGACTCTATTGTTCACAAAAATCTTTCAGTACATTCAGTGTTATAAGGTATTTGGCTCCATTCTGTATTAACAAATCAAATAGATTTTCTTCTCCTTTAATTGTAATATTTACTTCCTTTCAGCTCCCTCTAGTGTCCAGCCTTCAAAATCCCATACTATCATGTTTGATTTTTTAGAATTCAAAACATGGGCCATTTTCCCATAGGGATTATTTATTCAATTAATTTCAAAAAACCTATTTAAAGTCCATTTAGATGGGCAATTAATTTTCTCAAGGGGCCACATGAGAAACTGTGACTGTTGTGGAGGACCAAACTGATAGTGAAAGTAATAGGCACATATGCAGACACATATGTAAATTGATGAAAAAATAGTCTGCTTCAAAATAAAAGCAATGCAGTTGTATTGCATAGATGGTGTACCCTTATTTACATTTGAGTTGTACTTTCTAGTTGACCTCACACAGGTTGGACTGGGACAGCAAAAGGGCTGGATGTGGGTTGGGGCCATAAAATGCCCAGATCTGATCTAGACCCTTACATCTTTCCTAAAATAATACTCTAATCGTTTTTCTTCTATTTGTTTGCCCAGATTGTGAAATCTTTAAAGCTCCACTTAAAATTTCTTAAAGATTGAAGGAATCCCAGTGAATGCCATCAAATTTGCTGCTCCTAGGGTTCTTAATATTTTAAAAACAGTAAAAAAAGTAATTCCAAAGGTGATTAGGAAATGAGACTCAGCCAAGCTTTATGTCCACATAGGCTGCATTACATTTGTGGGCATAGATAGGATCTCTCCACTTATCACCCAACTGCAAAAATTCTTGGTAGTTTACTCATGAAGAGCAGCTGTCCAGAGTATATGTGGTCAATCCCCCAATCTCTCTCCAGAGAGAGCAAAACTCCAGAGAGATTCCATCCTAATTAATTAATCCATTCCCCACTAATTTCAGCTGTAATGCCATCCCCACAGCTTCAGGGATGTCTAGACTCCCATATCCTCACTGAATGGCCTAATAATCAGCTTTAGAATTGACAGTGAAGATAGTGAAAGGGTCAATAACTTTTAGGATCAACTATCAACAGTAAAGGAACAAGAAATACGCTGCACATTAGCACTTGTTAGAACAGCCATGAAGACCTAGGAAACAATATTCAATTGCCTTGATGTGTCTATACCCACAAAGATCAGAATCATGCAAGCCATGCTATTCCCTGGTACACACCATGGAAGCAAAAGTTGAACTTTGAAGAAACAAGATAGGGAGAGTACTGATGTTTTTGAATTTTGGTGTTGGAAAAGACTGCTGAGAATATTGTGGTTAGCCCAGAAAACAAACTAATGGATCATTGAACAAATCAAACCAAAATTTTCATTCACGATATAAGTAATTAGGCTCAAATTACTCTACTTCAGACACATTATGTGAAGACTTGGGTCTCTGCAAAAGGATCTAATGCTGGGGAAAGCAGAAGAAAAGAAAAGATGACTAGCAGCAAGGTGGATGGACTGTTATAAAGGTGCACATTTGGGAGATCTGAAGGAACAGATTAAGCATAGATCATCTTGGGGAAAAAATCTGTATGGTTGCTGGGAATCAGGAACAGCTTGATGACACATGAATGATTAAATTAATATATATTATTACAAGAATTAAATCTTGACTTGTTTTCTGCTGGCCCAGAATGCAGGATACAGAATAATGAATTTAAATTCCAAGATTTTTGTTGAATATTAGAAAAAAATGCTAACTTTTAACAGCAGATAGATTATAGAACTATTTATCTAGAAGATGGTGAGTTCACTTTTACTGGAAGTCTTCAAGCAGAGCCTGGACAGACATTTGTCAAGGATGTTTTTGATTCCTGTGTTATAATGTAGTTTGCTTTGGATGGCCTAAGTATTCCCTCCAACTGCATGATTTTATTGTTCTATAATATCTTCAGCCTTCTTGTACTGGAGGAGGATTCCAGTATCATTTGTGAACTGATAGCCCTAATGACAACCATGGGGGTGTCAAAAGTGGTCATAACACATGTGGGAACACGCTAGAGATTTGGAGAAGATGAAATGTGATCTGAAAATAACACTGATATCTTTCTTTTGCCATAATCAAACCAGTTCCTTATTAAACTGAGGGTCATGGATACCTGAACTTTGCATGAGGAACAGGCCTTTCAAAAGTCACTTTGGTACTTTCTTGACAATTTGGTGGGCAGTTCTGTTTTACACCCTCTAAATTTCTGGAATTCAGACATTGAAAAGATGCTGGATATGATTGGGCCTGTTTGGCCGCTTCATAATCATAGCCACTGAGATAAAGTGACTAAAAACATACATAGAGCAACAGTAATGGAAAACCAGATGTGGATATGATCAAAATTCTCATTACATGTTGGCCAAATTCATGCTCTTCCTAATTCCTTCAGGTGGCTAGTGGGTGTGAGTGGTTGGATCCAGGAGATCAGCCAGTCTTGCTTTGAGGGAAGACATAGTGACACAGCTTTGAATGAGGATCACATTCTGAAGTTTTTCCTGAACAAATTTTGTTTTGTCTCCAACCTTCTCTTTTTATGGAAGATTGTTTGGAACAAAGTGGGAAATCAGCTATAGAGGATCCTAAAGGAAATGGTTTATTTGGATCTGTACCAGTTGGAATTCAGGCCCAGTCATGGGACAAAAATGTTAGTGGTGGTGGAAGATAACTTTTACTAAGACCTAAATGGTGAAAGTTTGTCCATTTCAGTCTTATCAGACTTTGCAGTGTTGGATACTATCAACTGTCTGGATTATCAGCAAAGATTGGACATTGCACTATATAATGGTGATTCTCTCCTATCTGAGCAGAGGGCTTCACAGGGTTCACTGCTGTCCCCAGTAATTATCATGCACATGAAAGGCACTATCAGTGATCACTATCATTGGTTTACAGTAAGGTGTCATCAGAAAATTTATCAATGAAACAGTTTATTTGATTTCGGTCCTGGGCTCAAAGTTTGGGTAGCCATTTGTCTGGGATGCTGTGAAGATTCCTATCCAGGACAAGGACATGGACTGGAAGACTTCCAAGGCCCTTTCCAACCCTATGATACTATAATTCTATGAGTATGCTAATGATATTCATTTATACATTACTATCCTAGGTTGTAGAAAGCTTGAACTAAGGTTTGGAAGCTGTTAAAAACTAAATGGAGTGAAATAAGCTCAGACAAAATATTACCTGGATTGAGATGTATTAATAAATATTCAAGCAATTAGGAAATATTAGTCCTTGAAGTTATCTTGGGTGGAATTATTCTCCCTCTAAAAGAGTTGACTGATGATCTGGTGTCCTTTGCTTAGCCTTTGCCCAGATGTAGCAGATTTGCCAGTTATGTCACTATCTATATTAAGATGCTCTGATAGTGGTAACTCATGTCTTAACCATCATGCAATTGGATTACTGTGAAATATCTCATGTGGGGTTGCCTTCCAAGTTGACTCAAAAGATGCAATTGGGGCAAAATCTAGCAGTGTGGTGCTGCAGAATACACGCATTTAAAGTTGGCCATGGTTTTAGTGAGTTTCAAGGTGCTAATTGTCACTTATATGATATAGCACTGGAATACATCCCATACTAGCCTGCTAAAATTGAATCCACCTATCTGATCTGAACATCTAAAGAGGTTCTACTAAGAATTCTGTGCAGGCACTATATAAAGTGTCCACTATGGATGACATTGCACAACTTCTCACTACAGGTTGTCCTTAGTTATGACCATTCATTTAGCGACAGTTCAAAGTTATGACACATCGCCCCCTAAATACTTATGATCTGGTCTGCAGTTACATATGTTGTAGCATCACATTTAACCTTACAACTTGCTGTAACAGGCCCCCTGCCTATTTCCCCTCCAATCCTGCCCACTCGGTCCCCACAGGCACTGGGCCTGCTTTGCTAGCCCATGGGGTTCCATGTGCTTCTCCCCACCCTTTCACTGATCACTCACCTTTCAAAGATCTCCAGACCTGACAATGTCGGTGTAGAAAAGGAGAACAGACTGGGCCACATGGCAGAAAAGTGGCCTTCTTTTTCTCAGACCCTGGCAAAGCTGTTTTCCTTAGGTTTCTTTTTCTTACACATGCTTCCATTCTCTTTAGAGAATGCTCAGAGGAAGCTCTTTCTATTTTCCTCTTTGCAGACCTCACAATAGATCTTGTGTTCTTACATATAATTCCGTCCTCCCCACAAAAAGCCTTTTCCAAAGAGGGCGGAAGCCTGCAGGGGTGCAATAGATCTCATGTCCGGCCAGGCCTCTGTCCTCCATGCAAAAAGGCTTTTCCAAAGAGGATGGAAGCATGTGTAAGAATGCAAGATTGAAGGAAAACAGCTTTGCAAGGGTCTGAAGAAAAGACACATTAAGGAGAGCAGGGATGGAGGCTCATTCATTTAATGTGATTCAGTTAACATTATGACCATAATGGGCAGGCTCCATTATTGTCGTAACTTAACAACTAGCTGTGCTAGGACCATACTCTGAAACATGCCTCCTCTGGAGGTATGGTTTGCCCCTTCCTTCTTTCCACTTCATAAAATTGTTTGAACTGTCTTATTCCACTGTCTTTTAGTCTGGTTGATAAATAAAAGTGAGGAGGCTAAGGGAACAACTCAGTGATATTTTAATTTCATGTTACTTTCTTCTCCTTTCAGAATAAAGAGTACGTTTGCCGAGGCCATGACTATGAGAGGTTAGAGACCTTCCAACAAAGAATGCTTAGTGAATTTCCACAAGCCATTGCAATGCAACATCCAAATCATCCAGATGACAGCATATTGCAGTGTGATGCCCAGTGTATCCTTGATTAATGTTTTAGAATTAAGTTACCAAAGTTGCTGCAAAATTAAAAAGATTTCACAATTGGAACACGTTATAGTAATTTTAATATTTTTCATTGCCTGTTTACAGACAGTTAAAACTTTAACTGCAATGGGGGTTTGGGTGGTTCACTTAAAAATAGAATATAGCATGCACTGTCAGATTTGTGAAAGGGAGCTTTGATATTCATTATTGTACATGTTAATTTTTCCTAACCTCATAAAATTATATTCTGTAATTTCCTGACAAGATCTTTGTTTTTACTTCTACAGTATTTCTATTCTAATATCCCCCTCAAAACATTTTTAAAAAAGTGTGTTGCATATTCCTCTTTTCCCTGTGAAGCGAAATCAAGAAATAAACTTTTAAAAAGAATGAGAATGCCCAAATAAACATGTTCCCAGAGTGCCATATTAATGTTTTGCAGAAAAAGCAACAGAATTTTATAGCATCTTAAATACTAATACATTTATTATTGCAAAGTATCTGTTGTAGGAGTTTACAGTGTCATTTATTATCTTTACCATATATATATAATAAATTGTATTGTGAAATCAATAGCAAATCAGATGCAATAAAGCATTTATGATAATCATTTCTGTACACTGTTTAAAGAGGAAAAGGATATTATTTACTTCATTTGTCAGTACTGTAGTAGCTATCACTTGTTGATATTCCTAGATACTGGCTGTTTGATACAGCTCAACCATAATGTATTTTAAAGTCTAAGTTGTAACCCAAATTTAGAATATATTAATTCCATATCTAATAAGGTTCTTCCATGTATAATTATCTATATATGGGGCAGAGGGAAATTTTCATACATTCACTGACAATAGCATACTGTTAAAAATAAGTTAAGGGATGCAATGACGTTCCTGCTGAACCTTTAAAAACTAGCACTTTATTTTGTTATTTTTCATTTCTGAGAGGCCTTGATTGTGAATGTATTAGATAGTGTTGTTGTCGTTAAGAAGCAAAATTTAGTAACTAAATTTAATAAATTGAAATGAAAACTAAATGTGACCTCAGACTTTGATGAAACAAAAAGAATTGATGGTAATATTTGCCCCTAAACCTGGGCATTTTTAAAATAAAAACTTAATTAAATTAGGCTGAGAATTAGAACTGAATTTTCAGCAATAGTAAAATCCAGAGTAACATAATAAATTGCTTCAGTATAAAAAAAAACCACTGGCAAGAAAAAAAAAACTATAGGAAGTTTGATGGAAATAAAAATTGTTTTAGTGCTGTCTACTTGAACTAAAAAAAATAACTTGCTGTAAAGAGATAGAGGAAGAATTGCAGTTTTTAATTCCAGATCACTAAAAGTTCAAACTAGAAATTAAATATTCATGCACAATCTAAAATAGGCATAAATGGCTGAAATATCATAATTATACATCTTGTACAGAGAAATAAAAACAGGAAACTTACATAGCACAGCGAAATAAACACCAAAGTTTTAATGCAAATTCTAATATAAAGTTCTATTACAAATCATTTTGCAAACTTGAAATGATGTCCAGATAAAAATAGATTAAATCCTGTGATAATGTTGATTTAAACTGTGGTTTCCTTATGAAAGGAAATGGTCGTTCGACCCCAAATGGGGTCCCGACCCACAGGTTGAGAACATTTTTTTTTCCTTTTTTGAAGATGGGAACTACATCAGCTCTTTTCCAGTCCTCTGGTAGTTCCCCTGTATTCCAGGATCTTTGAAAAATATAGTTCAGTGGTTCCGATATCACATCTGCCAGTTCCTTGAGAACCTTGGGGTGTAATCCATCTGGTCTTGGCAATTTGAACTCATCTAGGCTGGACAGGTGCTCACTTACCATTTTCTTGCCTATCTTAACTTGTATTTCTATTTTGTTTTTTATGGCACTATTTTTGATAGGTTGGTCTGTAATAAAGAACTGTAATATTACTATGCAATGTGTAAGGTTAATCTGTATTCTTTTGTATTGCATGTAGTTTTTTTTCCTTTGACTGGACTCTTATTACAGACTTGCAAATCTATGCAGTGACTCCAATTCCTGACAACATTGATGTACTACATATGGATCGTGTCCCTGATCGCATAAAGAGCTTTTATCGAGTTAACAACATCAGGAAATTCCGCTATGATAGGCCTTTTCACAAGGGCCCCAAAGACAAGGAAAATGAATTTAAGGTTCTAATTCTTCCTAATATATTAACATTTTTATGCAAAATATATCGAACTTTTAGATATATGTAAGAGCTCATAGAATTATTGCTATCCTCAAAGCAAGTGTTAAACAATTTTAATGATGACAAAAATAATAGCAACTAAAATCTTTGAATATTTGATTGCAGCTTTATGATATAAAAGTAGATCTTGTAAAGCAGCTCAACTGGTGCAAAAGTAAGCCTTGTTGAGCTCTATAAGACATAATTCTGTTTAGGCATGCACAGCACTATGCAATAACAGACTAAAAATACAAGTTTTTGCAAATTTAATTAATCTGACTGAGGGAGCTAATGAAACTATATAGTTTCTAGAGGATGCTTCAGAAGCCAAGGCCTGAACTTCCTGCTGAAATAGGAAAGTTGCAGTGTCCGTGAACAAAATTGAATGTCTTCTTCCAATTTGTGGACTTGGAGGACAGGGAGAGGTTGTTGCTTTTCTGAGGAGTTCCATGAAATGAAACAAATTTAAAAAACCCTAATGTACTACTGGAGCAAAACAAAAAGCAGAATATGACCTAGAATGGATAAGAGTCATATCAAAGTCTGCACCATAGTGATAAGAGTGGCAAAATATTGATATTTCTTCACTCTCCTATTGAATTCACAAGAAGCCACTGTGAAAATTCTTTTAGACATCTGAAGGACATAGTTGTTCAGATTCACTTGGAGCTTGATGCCAGCTGAGCAGCTTCAGAGGAGTTTAGTGAGTCCTCGAGTGTTATCTGAGTTATCTGAGATGATTTTGATCATGCATGTGATCTGATTCTTTGCAACCCAACCACCTTTGGTCTGGACTTCTGCCCTTTCTAGTTGGTGAAAACTGCCAAGGAGATTATAGAAAGCTCAGTCAGGGAGATGGTAAAATGCATCCTTGAAAGAGGATATATTATTGCATACTTTAAAAGAGGTGATGATACACCCTCTCCTTAAGAAATCATTGCTTGACCCCATTTTACTGGAGGATTGTCAATCTGTCTCCAACATCTCCTTCTTGGGGAAGATTATGGAGAAATTGGTTAGACTACAACAGATTATCTGGATCTGTTTCTGCCTAGTTTCAGCACAATTGAAAACTAATCTGACAGAACTGAGATAAGAGTAATGTAACCATCCTTCTTGGTGTCCCAGCAGTTTTCAATAATACTGTATCCTTCTGAACCATCTCTGAAGTTTATGAGTGGGGGGAAACATTATATGATGGCAATTGCTAAAATGATGTTTTCAGTCAGGATCACAGGGGATCAAGCCCTAGACCCATCATCTGCAGATTTCTGGCACTTTCCAGTAAAATTACATCCTTAATTCTAAATAGAATTGCACTTCCTTGAGCAGAATTACTTTGCAATTTGAAGGTTGAACTAGTGGATCCTGCTTTAAGAGCTAGGGGTAGTTAAGGTTAAAAAGAATTTGCTTTCATCTAGTCTGCCAATTGCTACTTTTCCTGTAAAGACAGGAATGACTTTCTATCTATTGGACTGTCATTTTAAGTTTTACATGGGGCTTCCCTTGAAGAACATTCAAAAGCTGCAGATGGTCCAGAATGCAGCAACTTGAGAAACGACGGATGTACTTGAAACATTCCTGTAACTTCTGAATTGCATTCAGAAGTCAACTGGCAACTAGTGCAGCTGATTGCCAGTTGCCTTTTGAATGCAATTCAAAGTGTGGTTCTCACCTTTAAAGCCCTTCATGGTTCAGAGCCTGTTATCTGCAGGACTGTTTTCTCCCTGTAATGTTTGCCTACACAATAAGATCACTCATTCACTCAGTTAAAGACTTTTCACCTTCAGGGACCTTATAAATATACTTTTTCAGCCACTTCCCCTTCTTTGGAGCAGTCCCCCCCCCCAATCATGTGTAATTGCCCCGTTCTTGACCCACTTTTAGTGAAAACCTGATTATTCTGTCAAGCTTTGTTTTTCTTTGTAGAGCTTGTGGATTGAACGTACCACTCTAACCCTGACTCACGGTTTACCTGGAATCTCTCGGTGGTTTGAAGTGGAAAGACGAGAATTGGTAATCTATTATTTTTATTATTTTAAGTTAAGGTATAAAGTAAAGAGAAAGAGTGGGTAATTTTTAATCTAATGGATAAAATAAAATGTTAAATGTGCTTGTAACAAATGAGTGTTTCACATAATTAATTAATTTAATAGAAGGTCTCCCAGGAGAGGAGTGTTACACTGAAGATGTCTCCACAAAAATAGAACTGACAACCATAACAAAGACCAAGGAACCATGGAACTTCAAGATATAGAGAGGACAAAAATTTGTCCGTACGTGCTCAGGATGGCTACTTCCTTCAAGGAAACTGCAACTATTGGGAAACAGGAATTGTTCTCTTGCTTGCAATTGCAATTGGTGCCTTTTAAAGGAAAGTGAGGTGTGCTAGCCTCACTTTCTAATTACTCTGTAAATTGCTTATTATAATGCTTGAAAATACCATGTGAATTTAAAGAATTTGAAGTAAACAGCAAATATTGATCTTTAAACGTTACAAACAGATTAAGAGCGCAGATAAATTTGGAATATAGAAATTTTTACAATAAGTTTTTGGAATTAATAAAGAACAGCTTCTCACTAGAAATAGATCTCTTCTGGGGTTTTTGCAAGACATAAAGATAACTTATTTTATGATTTTGAAAACTGGACACTAGATGGGACTAAAGATTCTAGGCAGAAGGACATCCTAGTTAATTAACTAGGACCTATAAAATGATGCAAAACTTTATAACATTGAAACTATTAAAGAAGACTTTTGAAGAATGGACCCCCAAATTAGCAGCCATAATATCAACAGTATCAGTCATGATGTCTACCGCTATGGATAGATTATGTCCAAAAGATGTTATTAAAGAAATGACTGATGTGGAACAAATTTTATCTGACAGACAGAGATGGTACTGAAAGTGGATTTACAAGGAAGGACTTGGAAAAGGATGTCTCATTGGATATACAAAAGAAACTGATTATTATTTTTTAAATGATAAGGAAAATACAAATGGTAAACCAAGAAAGTGACCTGAATAATTTTTTCTTAGTGGATTTGCAAAAATGACTTATTAAAACTTGAAGAACTGTAATGTGATAGGATAAGAAATCAAATCCTACAACAATATTTGTCTGAACTGAAGACTATTAGAAGAAAAAGAAAGGAATATAAAGTTAGCTTATTTGAACAAGGTTAAAATAAGATGTGTTATTACTTATGGGCTTTCTGCTGACACCCAGACTGATGATATTTTATGAATGTGCCTATAGATAAGAGACAGGATATAACATGAAGAGATATTTTTTATAATATTAGAAGGGATGAAAAGGCACTACATTTATTTATACTTATGATGAAGGTATATGATAATAATATATGATAATGATAATATTGATGCATGCTTTTATGTATTATAGGTTGAAGTAAGCCCACTAGAAAATGCCACTCAAGTAGTAGAGAACAAAAATCAGGAGCTAAGGACACTGATAAGCCAGTACCAACACAAACAAATGCATGGGAACATTAATCTACTCAGTATGTGCCTGAATGGAGTTATTGATGCTGCTGTGAATGGTGGCATAGCCCGTTATCAGGAGGTAAATTCAGACTTTTCTGATTATTGTTATTTTCAGCAGCTTTTCACAATACAGTTATATTTCATTGTTGTCTTTAACAGTATATAAGAATGTTTAATTATATAAGAAACAGTGTCATTTTTTCATGATTATAACACAATACTTAGCTTTATGTCGGTATTCTAGTCTAACAACAATAACTATTTTATTTTGGGGAATTCTACCTTCTGTATATAAGTAAATTTTTATAGCATCATATTTTATTGTTTGTATAAATATGAAATTCATTGAAAAGATAAAAGTTTGTAACTATAATAATTACAAATAATAAATGCTCCTTAGAAATTGCTGTGTTAATAAAATAATGAAAGTCATCTTGATAATGTTGGATATATGTCTAAAGAGAAGGATAGTGATAATTGCTAAAGAATTCATTACTTTTCAACAACTAAGTTGTTAAGTAAAGTTGATCTTACTTAAAATGTAAATTAATAAAATTATTTCTGGATTATCTGCATGCAGAAAATCCACAAAACACTTTTATATTGATGATTTCTGAAGTTGCTTATTTCTCATCTACTGTTCAGTGGAAATAAACAATGAAATAAACAAATGAAAGTTTCAGGATTTTGTGAAGAGGTATGTTGATAGTATTACTGTTGAAATTTAAAATAAATTTGGTCTACTAAAAATTGCTCGGCACTATCCTAGAGCAAATTTCCTTTGCCACCGATTTATATATGTTGGCTTTTGAAATTACAAAATCCAAGAATGGAGAAAATATAGGCTGCAAAAAATGGGAGGAGAAGGTGACAAAATATTTAAAATGGATTCCATAGTCATGTATAAAAAATAAAGCTACCAAGGATTATTTTTGTTTTTCCTTATGTTTCTTAAAGTACAACTTATTATTTTTCTTCTCCAGGCCTTTTTTGATAGGGATTATATCTCCTCTCATCCTGGAGATGCAGAAAAAATCACACAATTGAAAGAACTGATGCATGAACAGGTATTCTTATCTTTTTAAAATAAAAATAAATAATACTGTAATAAAATTTGTTTCTTTTAATATTATCTACAATAATGCAAAATAACATGGGATTATTCAAACTATATAAAATACTGAAAACCAGAACATTATACTACATATATATTTGGTTTATGCTCATATTCTAAAACAACTATAGAATTTAATGACAAAACAAAAAAAATGTAGAAATATAGAATTCGATGACCACCTTTATAACATAATGTACCAGATGAATAAAACAAATACAGATACTTGAAAATAACTGAAAACTAAGAAAGTTGGGACAATGCAAATCTAAACAATGCTGTTTGCTAACCTGTATTAGCCACTTGCATCTTCAGTAGTATAAATAGAAGTGTATACACTTGCAGAACAAATCTTTTTAAAAAGATTATGCTCTCAAACTCACATTTCCTTTTCAGATAAAAAATGCCAGTGTGCTAGGTTGTTTCATAGTTACTTAAAACAAACAATTTATCAATTACCTTTCATATATATCTGCATTTTTGTTATCTTTCCAATTAAAACTGTTATCATTTCATAGTCTTAACATTAAATATTTTTAGTAATCTTGCAATATTGAAAGCATTATACTGTAGTCTCATTGAAACTGAATATTAAATTGTGATTTTTAATTTTAATAGGTACATATCCTAGGAATAGGTCTGGCAGTACATGAGAAGTTTGTACATCCTGAGATGCGTCCACTCCATAAGAAATTAATTGACCAGTTTCAAATGATGCGATCTAGTTTGTACCATGTAAGTTCACAATAGTATTTTTGACCTTATCCAATATGTCTTATAAAATAGAATAAATATAAATTTGTACTTTTAAACTCTGAGACAGAATTTTTAGTAACACTTGAGATGTATTATATTGTTAACAGAAATACATTTTGGATGCTACTCGTGTCTAGTTAGCCATTGGATCTTAACTTTTTCTTCAATTAGATATTATTCCAGTGAATGGTTTTATATGGTCTTGATGGCTTCATTATCCATATATAACCAATACTTGCAAGTACATGAAATAACTGTTTGGCTGATAGTGAATGAGCTGATAAACATATTAATGTTTTCAGTTCATATATAAAACAATAAATAGAATTATATATTTGAATCATTTTGTTTTTTGTTTCACTGAAATTCAGCATTGAGATATGATTCTGTGATAAGATGGGCACAGCCAATAAATTTTATAAATAAATAAACACACTAAACACACATTGTTAATGTAGTGTCTTTATGATTTATCTTCATGTTGTGGTTCCATGCCAAGAAGTAATCCAGTTTAAACAAAACATTATTAATGCTATTCTAAGATACAGAATTTTCATACTTTTTGTCTCTACCGTTGATCTTCCTGTTATGTTTTGGAAGTGAATTTTGTCACCATAACTCAATTTTTCAGTTTCTTCATCTTTGCTTATTTTATTTCTATTATCTTCTAAACCAGGGCTTTTCAACCGGTGGTACGTGTACCACTTGTGGTACATTAATGAGTGGCAGGTGGTACACAGCCCTGCCTAGCCAAGTGTAGTGGGGGAGGGAAAGAGCCAGCACAGGCAAGGACTTACAGTGAGAGAGTCCTCTGGAGCTGCAAAAGCCCCAGGCTCACTTCTGGCTCACCCTCTCCCATGAGAAAGGAGGAGGGGGACGGAGACAGGAGAGCCTATAAAAGGAGGCAGTTTGGGCAGGAGAGGGAGAGAGAAAAAAAGCAGCAGCCCTGGGAGGAGGCAGAGTCAGCTGCACCGAAGGGGAAGAAGGAGGGGAAGGGGGAGGGTCAAGCAAGCTGGCCATGAGCCGATCTACAATTGCTGTGGCAGCCACCTGGCTGGCAGCAGCAAACAGGCAAGAAATGCAGCGGGAGAGGGGTCGCCCTCCAAGAGGAATGAAAAAAGGCAGCAATGGCTGGAGGTGAGGCACGGAGGAGGGAAGGAGATGCAGAGTGAAAGGATTCTGATGTGCTTTTGTGACTTTGAAATTCTGGGATTTGTGTAATGAGGGCTTTGTGTTCTTAAGGAGTGTTTGGCAATTTCTATTTGGCTGATGGCTGATGTCTCTTGTTAGCTTCTATTGCTCTGTTGTTGTTAGCTGCAAGGGATTTTGAAGTATTTTTGCTTCAAGGGATTTTGAAGTATTTTTCTCCTGAACGGATTTTGCCTGTAGCATTCCTTTACTTATGAATGGAGCTATTTTGGGGAGGTTGCCTTAGCCAGCAGCCAGTACTTACATTTTTTTTTCTTCCTTAAGTGCTGGCTATGCTCCTTACTTTTTTTTCTAGCCAATAGCTAATTCTTAAAGGAGAATGTGCCTTTTTAAGCTATTTCACTCAGCAGTTTGTCTTTTCTGTCTCTGGAGATCTTTCCTTGTTTGATCAATATATGGAAGAGGGAAAATATGGGGGGGGTTCAAATTCTTCCTTCAGAAGGAGATGGGAATGAGAAAAAGGGAGGCAGGGAAGGGAGGGAGGAAAGGAAGTCCCGCCTTAGCACTTGGCTGCCAGCAGCTCTGCCATTGACTTTGCTTGTCAAAAGGTTGCAGAAGGGGATCACATGACCCTGGAACACTGTGACCATTATAAATATGAATCAGTTGCCAAGCATCCAAATATAAATCACATGACCCTGGGCATGCTGCAATGGTCATAAGTATGAAAAATGGTCATAAGTCATTTCAGTGCAATTGCAACTTTGAACAGGTTTTTTTTTTTTGGTCATCAAGTTTTTGACACCTTGCTAGGTGGTACTCGAATATTGCCATATCCTAAAAGTGGTACAGTCGGTAAAAAGGTTGAAAAACCCTGTTCTAAACAAGTAGAGCTGGTGGACAGGCCATATTAGTTGTATCCAATTTTATAAACAATATTTATATTCTGCCTTATCCATTCACAATTAGCATTTAATGCCCTTTACAGGAGTTACCCACTCTGGAAAAGTTAAGTCCAGCCTGCTCAGGAACAAGCACACCACGCAGCAATATGCTTGTATCACACAGTCCAATGAGTCCAGAGAGCATCAAAGTGATGCATCGCCACAGGTATTATTTTAAACACGTTCTATTTTAGAAGAGTCTTTCTGTATCTGCATTTTCAAATAACATCTGAAATTGAATAATTAATATACCTGCTACATGTAACTGAAAAGTCTCATTAACAAAACTTTTGGACTATTCAAATTTATAATAAATAAAAGGCCAGACTTTTAAATTCACTTCATTATTGTGGGATTAAATTTCCTATAAGATTGTTTTTGCTGTCTGAACATTTATTATTTCTTATTATTTATGTAGTAACCTGACATTAACAGGTAATAAAATAAGATCATAACAATTATCAACCAAATTTAATAAAAACAATAATTTTTCAGTTATTAATATCTGAAAATTGATGTTATTGAAGACCAACATAATTGTATACCGTATTTTCCGGTGTATAAGACGACTTTCTAAAGCCTGAAAATCTTCTCAAAAGTCAGGGGTCGTCTTATACGCAGGAATATACAGGTAGCTGTTCTCTGAATTTAAAACCAATCTGCCCCCTAGTGGCCAGCCCTATTTTTTTACAGAAATAAGCACTAACAGGACAAAGCTTTCTAGCAGCAAAGGAGCTCCTATTGTGCTCATCTATAAACAGAAATTCAATATTGTACTGTATTTTCTGGCGTATAAGATGACTTTCTAAAGCCTGAAAATCTTCTCAAAAGTTGGGAGTCGTCTTATACGCCCAGTCGTCTTATACGCCAGAATATACGGTATATATATTTAAAGTCAACCAGATAAAAATAAAGAGCTCTGGGATGTAAGGTAAAAGGCTTTTTTATTAATTGCTGAGCTTTCATTAACAACCTGTTAACACCATCAGAGCAAAGGGCTAAATGAGAAGGGGGAGTATGTGCATAAATTTAAATAACAGTTAAACAACGGTTGCAGTGAGGCATGTGCACATAACGTGTTTAAGAAGCTCTTAAAGGCATAAAGCAGTCAGTCTCAAGACCATTTTCAAAAGTCCCGCTTGTTTAACTGTTATGTAAATTTATGCACATACTCCCCCCTTCTCATTTAGCCCTTTGCTCTGATGATGTTAACAGATTGTTAACGAAAGCTCAGCAATTAATAAAAAAGCCTTTTACCTTACATCCCAGAGCTCTTTATTTTTATCTGATTGACTTTAAATGTCCATACCTGGGATTCTAATATTCAAAATTATCAAAGTCATTCATACATACATACATACATACATACATACATATAAAAACTTGCTAATGTTTTCCATGCAGAAATAAAAAATACTTATCTGTACATGTTATGAAAAGACATGTATAAGAATTCTAAGTTCTGCATGTTTCAGCATGAAATTTTCTTCATTAAACAAGCTTAAGAAAATATTTGTTAATAGCATTTTTGTATATTTTTGTAGCCCATTGAATATGCTGGGTACAGTCCGACACTCGTCATCTTCCCTTTCTTCCCATACATCAAGTGAAACAGGAAATATGGTTATATTAACAGACAGTTCTGTTGGAGAAAATGCAGAGGATGTGTACCACATGCAGGTATCATGCAAATATATTAGAAACACATTGCAAGCAGTATATATAATTCATGATTATTTTATAGAAAACTATAGATTACATACAATGTGCTTGTAGAAGTTACTACTGTAGCATAATAGGTATCTATTGTCTATGCCATTAACTTGTCTATGAGGCCTTAGGCAAAATATCTTTCTTTGGGGTCACAGTTCTCCAAAGGATTCTATCTAAGGCACAGTGTCAAACTCGCCATGTCACGTGACGTGTTGCGACATATTGCGACTCTTTTTGCATTGCCGGCAATGGGGTGGGTGCTGCTTCAGTATGATGAAACTGGCCCATGGGCCGGCAATTTGACACCCTGATCTAAGGGCTCCATGGTACCAGACTTGATGACAAAGACATTATAATCCGTTATTTGTCCTTTGTGAGAACCTTCAAGGTTTCTGCACCTGCTGAGGTAAAATGAATATTCCAGAGCTAACAAAATCTTCTTTCTGCTGTTCCTTTTGCCTTTTTATTGCTTCTCTAGAGTTGTAGATAGATAAACTTCTTATACCAGGTTACTCTGTTTGAAGAATTGAAAATTTCACACTGGCCCAAATAGTGCAGTCCTATATGCCTGAGTGTACAAATAATAACTTGAAGTATAAAGTTAAAGGAATGTAGATTTCTTTCACATTGCATGGAAAGCGCTAGTGAGTATATTTTGCAATATTGTATATGAATTGTATTAATTATGTAAGATAAAGGTGCTATGAAGCAAATTGTGAGCCACCCAAGGATATGACAAATAGGATGGGTGGCATTATAAGTATTTAAAATAAATAAACTATTTTCCCCAAGTCCTTCATCTTGTTAATATTGTTATATACATCACAGGCTCCTTAATAATAAATATTTGAACTTACTTATCAGGATTGCTTTTGCTTATTCCCAGGCCAGTCCTTCCACCTCAAGCTTGAGCTCTACCCATTCTGCGCCATCTCAAATGATCAACTCTGCACCTGCTAGTGCAAGAGGTATGAATGAGGCATTTAAGATAAAGTAATGCAAAATCCTACAAATGGCTGAGATAATTGCTTTTTATTTATTTATTAAATTTATATAGCAGCCCATCTCACAGAAAGTGACTTTCAACTGCAGTACCATATTCTGCCTAGATTTCCTGGATGCTATAGGATATTTTGTTGTTCTGGTCTTAGAACAGGACAAAGGGACATCCAGGAGATTTCAGTGTTATATCTTTCTGACATCAGATCACTGTTTTGCCTCCAAAAGCTATGGGTGCTCCACAGTGGTGGGATTCAAATATGTGAACAACCAGTTCTCTGTGTGGATGCCTCTTCCTGAAGTCCATTTTGGGCCTGGGCAACAAAAAAATAGCTACCGGTTCTGCCGAAGTGGTGCGAACCGGCTGAATCCCACTGTTGGTGCTCCAACACTGGAAGTTTTTAAGAGATTGGACAACCATTTTTCTTACATGGTATAGGGTTTCCTGCCTGAGCAGGGGGTTGGACTAGAAGACATCCAAGGTCCCTCCAACTCTGTTATTCTATTATTCTGAAATATAGAAATAAAATTGGGAGTATGTCTGAGATAATCCCAGACTGATAATCCCAGACTGTGCTATCTTTATCAGCCTTGCAGTTTAATTCTACCCAGACAAAAACAATTAGAGAGGGGATTGGGAGATATAAAAAACTCTTTTCACTATTGTGTTGTGAATAAACCTTCAAAGCTTTAGATAGATAGAAGAAACAAAGAGGATCTTCCCAATAATTGATATAATACTTAGAAAAGAAAAAATTGTTGAAATATGCATTGTACAAAAAGAGATCACACATAGTTCTTGACTTACAACAAAGCAGTTGTTGAGTTTTGCCCATTTTATGGCCTTTTTGCCATAGTTGTTAAGTGAATCATGTGTTCATTAAGTGAATCTGTCTTTGTTAGAAGCTGTCTGGGAAGGTTACAAATGGCAATCACATGATCTCAGGGCAGTTCAACTATCATAAATACATATCATTGTCAAATGTCCAAATTTTGATCATGTGACTATGGGGATGCTGCAATGGTTGTAAATATGGAAACTGGTCATAAATCACTTTTTTCAGTGCCATTGAAACATTGAACAGTCATTAAACGAATAGTTGTAAGTCGAGGACTACCTGTAGTTGATATAGAAACTCAGTAAATGAACAAAAATCTTATTCTGTAAAAGGTCATGGTTTGGGTTCCCAAATTGTTACCCTACAGTACTAACATGCCCAGTGTGATCTCCCTTGGTATTCAACATGCTCTGTGTTCTACCTGACTTAGAGTGAAAATAATCTTTAATATAAAACTTTAGACAATGTAATGCTACAAAGCGAAATGGTAGCCTCCAAAATCATTCTTATTTTCTAGGGTTCCCAGGACCCTTATGCTTTCTTCAAATATAAATATATCTGGAGGTTTTAGCTGAGGATTTTCTTTGGAAATGGGCATAGAAAAAAGGAGCAAAATACGTATGGGTGATAGGAAGCATCTCATGAGAGATGTTATAGGAGTAGCATTACATTTCTGATGAAATGCTACTTTGTAGTTAGTTATATCTCTTATGGTAGCCATTTTGCAGAAGTCTTCCATTCCCAGAAACTATTTTGCAAGACTATCTACAACAGGGGTCCCCAGCCCCAGGCCACGGCCTTGTAGTGGGCCATGGCCCATTTGGAACTGGGCAACACAAGTAGTGGGTGAGCACACAAGTGCACGGAGCTCCACTTATTCAAGCAGCAGACAAGCGTGCAAAGCTCCATTTGCATGAGCTGCACACATACACACTTACCTGTTGCTCATGCACAACCGTACCCCTCCCCGTCTCTGCCACTGCTGCTGCCGGTCCGCAAAGCCGGAAAGTTGGGCACTGCTGATCAACAACTTTTGTCTCAAAATTATAAAAGCTTCTACCAGACCCAAAAAGTTTGTTGCCCCTGGTCTACAGTATACCCCTTCTGATCTTTTAGCTTTAAGTAAATTGTCAAAAAAAGATGAGTCTTCTAAATATAGGGGAATAGTTGGTATATATTAACTGAGGGAACTAAACATGAATTTCTTGCACTGAGATAATATTTCAGGATACATATATTTAACTGTATGATATATAATCAGAAAGTAATAGTTTCTTTGTTTTTACATCACTTCTTAGTAACATTCCCCACTTTTAAAAAAGTAATTGCTTTTTATTTTCCAGAGGAACTTTATTGAGAAATCATGCCATTAAAAAATAATTTTGGTTTCTTTTCATCATGTACCAGAAGTAACAATTCCTTTTATATTGGACTGAACATTACATATAAATGGATGCAAAAGTATTTAACGTTAGTAAGATGATATAATAATAATGGGGATAAATAAATATGTGACCTCATACTTGTAAACTAATTGTATCAATCTAGAAGTATGCATTTTAGAGAAGAATATTATTATAACTGCTGGTAACATACTGGATTTGTATATGCTGAATTTTTCAAAAAGCTTTCCCACTGTTTTGATTCTAGAGAGACCAGACAATCTGTTTAATGGAGAGCTAATAAATAAATCAGCATTTCCCTCAAAAAGAATTAAAAAGCAAACAAAATGATCACTTTTTATTCCTTTAGCTTCATATAGAAAGAAATGTTTACGTACTTCAGTATATGTTTATGACATATACTGAAATATTATCATTTATTTTTAAACAGTGTCCCCAGAGTAACTGATAAACAATTTGAAATTCTAGAAAATAGTAAAATAGAAAAATTAAAATCATTTTGATGCTTCATTAATAATGTATTTTTATGAAACCACCATCGAGGATGATATTGTTTAGCAAACCATATTGATCCTGGTGCAAAAATAGCAAGGTTTTCGTTTATTCATTTGTGCTTTTTAATTTTAATGATTTTATCCGTCAAATAAGCACTGGCACTAAAGCAAGGTACAATCCATGTTTCAAATGCCTAGCTTTGCCAATCTACCTCAATTCTTTTATATTTATTTATATTCTTTTTAATTTAGTGCTGAAGGGTGCTGGATTGACAACTCTGGAGGCTGAAGCCCTCTATTTATCCACAGAACAGATACAGCCTGGGCGGCAGCAGTGCAAGCTTTCCCACACTGCCCCCACCAATGTGCCTCATCTCTGTCCTGGAGGGACCACCTCTAGAGGTGAGAAGAGAGATTGGTCTCTATGACTCTTTCAGTCCTTGGCCTTTCTGTTAAGATCGCTAGCTTGTGGTAGCCTACCCCATTCAGTCAGAAAATGTGCCACATTCATCAACAGGTTTCACTGTATCTATTCAGTGTCGATAGATTCCACCGTGATTTCAGAAATTGTTACTGAGCCTTGACTAACTGAATGGAGATATCAAGGATCATTGTTGGCCTAAATGATATGTCAGTCACTACACTTTTTCAACAATTTCTTAATTTTCAGCAAAATATTGAGTATTTTGATTGGCCCTTTCATAAGCCAGCATGACATGAAATTCAAATTAAAAGAATACTTTTCTTCCTGGCATATTATTCTATTTCATGAAGTAAATATTAGTGAATAAAAATAATATGTCGAGCTGTTTCATTTGCAGTTTACTAAAATCTCAAAGTACTATTGAAAGTAGTACTATCTAGCAAAATGCTGGTATATTCTAAATTCATACCACTGAAATAAAAAGTATCCTGTATTAATCCATTTTCTATAGTTATATTCTGTTCTTAGAGTAGTAAAACATGATGCATAAAGCAACTTTAAGAAGCTTTGCTTCACAGATTAATTTATCTGCATTCTAAAGTATAACTCAAAATGCTATTTATTAACAGTGTAAGAAGTCATATGATCTTTTCCCCCACAAATGCTAGTTATGAATTTCTGATCTAGTACATGCCCTTCCTTCAGAATTATATATATACATTGCTTACTGGTGTACACCGCTTAGAGAGTGCTTGCACTTAAAGCGGTATATAAGTCTCATAAATAAATAAGTAAATTGAACTTAGAGCACAGATGAAACTTCCATAAGGATTCTACAAGCACTAGCTATTCTTGGATGACAATACTGAGATAAAATTTCTAGTATATATCTGTAATTAGCAACTAATGTAATGTCAATCATATTAAATAAACATTCATATATTTGTTTCATAAATCTAAATACAAAAAAACTGAAGCGCTTACTCCTTCACATGCTACATAATAGGGTGCCATATTTATTGTTAATAAGATCATGACTGCACTAACTGTTGTATTTATTCCATGAATTTATTGAAAAGGAGGACTAGTGTCCCTCTGTAAGGATTTGTCCTGTGGACTAATGCTAGTGAAGCACTGGTTGCCATGGCCTCATATTTTATATATCAGATTTCACCTGAAATTAAAATAGGAACGTTCCATGCAAAAATATATTAATTCTGTTCAAAAGCAATATTTAAATGTAGTTAATATATTTTCAAGATGGCTCCCTGCTATATTCATAGTGGGAGCAATCTGGTAATTCGTGCTATTTTATCAGATTTTTCTTTCCTTTGCCTAAGGAACAAATCAAGTTTATAAATAATTACATAAGTAATCAGAATTATATAGTAGAAGATTAATATTGGACTTGCATTTAAAAGAATGTTAAGAGATTTAGCAAATATGAACTGATCAATACATGTTTGTTGTATAACAAAGTTATTTAGGAATAAGGAATACCAGATGTACAAAATGAGAGATAATGAATTGTGAGATTTTGAGTTCACAGTGAAAATGTATGCCAAAAATTTAGCTTTATGTTAGCTATATAGAGACTTACAAGTCTTAAGTTTTATGTACATCTAGAAAATGGAACAAATGCTTTAGAATACATGTTTCTAAGTATCTTTTAAATATTTTTCATCTCATTTCTTTGCTCAGAAACACAGTATAGTATTCATAATTTATTTTCCTCTTATAATAATTATATAATTATAAAGAATGCTATGCTATATCAACATGCCTTTAATATAAACAGATGAAGTATAATTTGAATTATAATCTCACAACATACATAATATATGAATGCTTCAGTTTAATTATCTTGCAGAAGAACTGTGTTTGCACATTTGAGTAACTCACACATTCTCCCTAAGGAAAAAGAAAAAACAGAGTGTAATTAATGATAACTTTCTTTCCCAGAATGCTTTCTGAGCTGTCGGGAGTTTTTGTACATAGAAAGCATAAAGAGAATTTCGGTCAGTGCCCCATCTTTTTAGCAGCTCTCCACATTCTTTAAACCTACTCAAAAAGCTTGGATCTTTCGATGAAACAAGGCTTGTTTTGTGGAACAACAAGAAAGGAGAATCTTGAGAAAATCATTTGGTCATCCTTTTCCATAAACTGAAGCCTCTGCTTGATTACAAAAGTCACAGGGTTTTGTGGATTCCTAGGATTTAATGCAGATTCAGAATCCCAGACACAAGTTGTAAAATTTTCTTCTCTTTTATTACTACACCAAACCAAGTCAAGTCTTTAGCTTCAATTTTATGTAAGATTCCTTTACAAGGGTTATTGAAAACTAGATAAGGTCAAAGTCTTCTCTTGGTCTTCTGCCTTCCACTGCTCTCTTGAATGGTAACAACAATAGCTTAGTTAGATAGTTAGATATCTTAGTTAGATAGTTAGAAGCAACTATCCAAGCAATTTTGATGTGGGTGTTTTCTTCTCCTAAAGGTATAAACAGTTTAAATGTTGACTGGGTATTACTAAGATATTAACATTTCTACTGGCAAAGCAAAGCTTCTTCCTGCTACTGATAAACTATACCTTGTTAAGTGTGTATGTTAGCATAGTAATGAATTACAAATGTAGGTATTTCTATGTTTAAATTCCATTCGTGCTTTTTTACTTAGATATGAGAAGGAGGCTAAGCATATTGAGCTAGTTCTACCTCTGGCTCTTCCTTAAAACTAACAACAAATCTTAAACAACAAATACTGTTTAGATCTATCTTTGATTGCCATACATTATTCCTCCAAAACTGTTTTCCAAAACTTTCTTCTTCTCATGTTCTTTTTTAAGACTTCATCTTCTTTGCCAATTTAACAACAGTCCTTCCCTTCTCCTATGAGGAATCTATGAAGAAACCGCTCTGTCTACTCTTCACTTATGCTATGTCCATCAGCTAACAAAAAGCAAAGTATCTTTGTGACTAATTCTTCAACTCTGACAAGAGTTTTCATGAACTGAGAGATACTTTTGGAAAAGCTCTGTACTTATAGTTCACTCTTAACTTTTTAAAAAATATAACTATGATAAGAGGAAATAGATTAATCATTCCTTAGTTTACATTTCTGAATCCGTAGTCTGAAGGACAATGTGATTGAGAACTGATGGAAATAAAATAGTAGACTTTGGATTACATCTGCTCAGGCACTTTTCATTATATAAGATGCCCATCTATGTTTTTAGGAAGCAGCTATGAAACTTTGGATTCTGGACTATTTGTTTTAGGGAATGAGAGAGTTTTGCCCCAGTATGACACTATGCTTTGATGCATTACTCTTTTTCTGTACAAACAAGCAAGACAATTTTTCAATATGTCCATATATTATTATTTTAAATGGAGATTGTTTCTATTGTTGTAATGCTTAACACATTTAACTTTCATTGTAGAAAAGGTTATGTTTTTAAAGTATAAATAGTGAAATAAACAATTAAAATTCATTTAATAAGAAACTTTTCCCTGGATTCTAAGTATAGGCTATGCTAAAAAAAGTTGAAAGTCTCTCTTTTTCCCACTTCTCTCTAAGTGAAGTTGAACATTATAGAACATTATAGAATTCTTCTCCAGTAGATGAAAACTGCATCTTTTTATTGCGCTGTAACTTACTTCAATATCTCACTCACAATTTTAAGGAAGGAAACAGTTCTCAAAGGTTTTGGAACCGTGACTTCCCAAAATGATAAATGTATGTGACATACATACACCTGAATAAAAGTAATGATTTTATTGGGGTTAGGGTTGGTTGAAAAGATGGATATTTCTTTCTCCTGTCAGCAAAGTCATCCACTCAGATATTGCTGTGCATAATGCAGCAATTGATCCAATGAAATCAAACATTTTAAATTGCTTGTATCTGAATTGCCTGAATTATATTTTTGTACTCTTTAAAGATTTATGTGTAGCCTTTCTCTCTCTCTCTCTCTCCCTCTCCCTCTTTCTCTCTTTCCCCCTCTCCCCCTCCCTCCCTCTCTCTCTCTCTCTCTCTCTCTCTCTCACACACACACACACACACACACACACACACATGTCTGTATGTAACGATTATATGTAAATTAAATGCAATGAATGGACAGGTTCTGTGTACGTGACTGTCACTGAGGGACTATTAATACTATCTTTTAGTAGAGGCATTTCATGTTCTCATAGTCATTTATTCTTTTCAAATGTTTCAGCTGTAGATCAGATTCATGCTATATTTTTGGCCATCAGCTGTCATTCAATTTCAATATATGTAGTAAATACCATTTCAAGCTTTAATGCAATATGAATGTACCACATATTCATGCATTCCTATGTGCAAGATTATATGTTGATATGTTCATAATACCTAACAAAACTCCAATGGCACAGCACTAAGAGTAATTTTTATATTTTATTGGGGGGGTGATCCCAAAAGAGGCAGAATATGCAAAAACAAATTTAATTAAAAAATAAATGTTTATTTATTTTTCACATTTTTGAACTACCCATCTCCCTCAGAGATATTGACAATCAAACCACGCTGATTGTTTATAAGCCCTAAGTGTTTAACTCAATCACATTTAGCTAAGTAAATTCAAAACTTCAAGAAGAAAATATTCTAATTATATAGTAAATCATATCATTTCCTTATCAATCTTAGCCTCTCTTAAGGCTAAGATTCCAGATGCTTGTTCAATGGCATTAACAAAATTACTCAGATATCCCATTTTCAGCTGCCAATTTTATTGTACAACAAATAGATTATTAATTATAGATTATAGATTGTTATTTTTCTATACAACACCTTTATCAAAGACATCTGTTGTAAAGATTTGATGTTATTTTTGTACTAAATATTGGTATTTAATTGATGAGAAAACTGCTTCCCTGCTAATTCAGTTATTGTAATAGAGGAACTATGTAATTGACAGAGTCAAAGATATTGATTGAAAGATGCCTCTGATATTGTTGTTTATGGATCAAACAACTATCCGATTCCTATGTGCATGCCATTGTATTTACAACTTTAAATGATTGAGCCTTTCTTCCCATTTAAATGTGAGTGTGCTGCTCTTTTGCAGTATGTCAACCTAAAAGTAATACCGGAAATAGTTATTTTGTATGATCAGAGATGCATGTATTTATGAAGCATCCATCCAAAATATCTCTGAGCTATCCACAAACATCTGATAACAAGCAACTTAGATATTCTATTTGCTGTTAAATTGTGTTCTTTTTAAAAAGATGTCAATACCTTTGTTTTCCCTAGTAAGAGAATATATCTAAACTTTGTCCAAATGGTTAGGATTTACAAAGTTCTGTTACTTACAATATTACTTTTTACATGTTCTTTTACTTTGAAAATGGTCCTCTTTTTTGATGCAGTAGTTTCTGAATTAGTGAACAGGAAAAAAACTAGCAAAATAGACACAGGGATAACAAGAATAAAGCACAAAGCAATAATAATAATAACAACAACAACAACAACATACATCCAAACCTAACAACAAAAAAGTAAAATAAATTGTGTACAAAAAAGGAAAAAAATGACCCAAATATCAAATACATTTAACATTAAGCAGATAGAATCCACCCCTGCTGGTTACTGAGGAAAAAGAAAAACTGATAGATTCTCCTCCCCTTTACAAAATGAGTCTACAAATAGTTATAAACTTTCCTATCTCTATTTAACAAGAATAATATATTAAATAAACAAATATTCCAGGCGAGAGACTCCTTGCTAACTACCAATTCCAATACCAAAAGCTGCACAACTACATTTTACAGACTAGGTTAAAGCAGTAACTGTGTTAGAGCCATTTGAAATTTATGATAGCTATATCTGCATTTGGGAAACAATATGAGAAATATTGGATAAAGAGGAGGAACCCGTGACATTCAGTGAGCCATTATACAATTTTTCATGTTCCAGAAAGTTCAGTATTTTATTCATATATGCATCAACCTTATCTCTGATGTGCATATGAGTAGGATGAGCAAAATATGTTTACTTAAGTTAATATTGTTAGTGATTGAGGATTCACACCATTTGTGTCATATGTGCTTTGTGAATTAAGTATTTGCTGTGTATATTTGAACATGAGAAAAACTGCAACTCTGATGCTTTCCCCTGTATTACTGATTAATTTATTACTACAATCTACATACTATGTTTCTATTGATATGAAAGCCAGATCAGCTTTAGACAGATCTGTTGGAAGGGCTCCAACATTCCTAGTTCTGAAAAATTTATCGAGTGGCAGTCACAGCCCTTGTAGCAAGTGTACTTATTCAGTTCATTTTCTTTATTGTTGTTGATATAAACCTAAGCATAAATTAGAGACATTATAAATATCTAAAAAAATCCAGAAAATTTAATCATTTGAGAGATTGGTGAGCAATGTAACCATTTCCCCCAGATTAAATTTTCAAAAGCTATACACTTCAACATACATTTTGAAGAGTAGAAAAACTGCAATTTTTCAAGAAAATTCTATCAAAGTGGAAAATCTAAAGATCAATTTAGCCTCTTACAGTGCTTTCATATGTTGACAACTCTCTGGAATAGTTTTGAAAATATGCAAATTGATTAAGCCCAAGGATGCTATTGGGCTTCTATGCTTGTTGATGCTGTTCTGCCAGTTGAAAGATAGAATTAGCTATAGTAGTGTTTTAATATTTTCAGATTAATGTTTAACTGCTTAATTTTGGGGGGAAGGGGAAAATAAATTTGTTTTGAACTTATAGCCCTATATATATATTTGGACCAAAAGACCCATTAGGGCTTATTTTCGGGTGATGGCTGACTTTGCGGCCAGCTGGCCACTCCCTCCCACCATCTTCTTGCTCATGGCCGCAACGGTTTACAGGGCTTCCCAGGGCAGACGTTCGGGAGGCAAGGGCAGGGCTGGCGGAACGTGCCTTCAGGTGAGGAGGAGAGCGGTGTGGACAGGCGAGGGAAGCCAAAGAACTGGGCTGCCACCTCCCTCCACCTCCACACTTTTTCCTTTTGCAAGCAGACAAAGCTTCCAGTCTCTGTCATTTCTCCATCTGGGCGAAAAGTGTTTGGGCACCTATGGGGCGCTAGGAAACAAAGTGAACCACTCCGTTTCCAGGTGCCCCATTTGCAAGCAGACAAGTATGCAGTGGAGCCAGGTGGACACAGAGGCATGAGTGGTGGGAGGTAGGTGATCCGGACATCTCTCGCCTTGCTTGCAGCCATACTGGGGCAGGCAGCCGCACAATGAGTCCAGATCACCTGCCTACCCCCATGCCTCCGCCTGCTGCTGGTGCCACTGTGCGAGCCTCCCACAAGTCAGGTGGCTGCACAAAATGTCCGGATCACCTGCCTTCCCTCCACCTCTGCACTTGGATTTACCTGTGCAGTGCCAAGGGGCCAGCAGGCTGTAGCGGCTGTTGGATAACATGGGCCTCCATGCACTCGCTGCCTCTTGTGCTGGTCATGCCCATCCTTCCCGGGCTCATTTTTGGGTCAGGGCTTATATTAGGTCCACCCCCAAAAAATCAGGCTAGGGTTTATTTTCTGGGTGGGTCTTATTTTCGGGGAAACACAGTATTGTTTGAGTGAGATGTACTGTATAAATTATATGTCAAAGCTGAACATGTAGTACTCCTTCCTATTCAGTCAAATATGTTCATACTTTTTAAAATGAAATGATATAAATGTAGAAAGGCAACTAATAACATAAGCAGTGCCCTACTGAATTGGACCTTTGGCCCATCTCAACCAGCTATCTATTCTCAGAGTGGCCAACCACTCGCTATTTGCGAGACCGCCTACTACCTCATAGTTCCCTTCGTCCGGTTAGATCCCACAGGCTGGGCCTCCTTCAGGTCCTGTCGGCCAAGCAGTGCCATTTGGCAGGGCCGCGGAGGAGGGCTTTCTCTGTGATGGCGCCCACGTTTTGGAACCAGCTCCCCCCGGAGATTAGGACTGCTCACACCCTGTTGGTTTTCCGTAAGCTGCTTAAGACCTGGTTTTTCCGGCAGGCCTGGGGTTTATAAAACCTGACCCCTGGATGACTGTTCTTGTACTGTTTGTTTTGTTATGTTTTATGTGTTTTTATTGTTAGCCGCCCAGAGTCCTCCGGGAGTGGGGCGGCTTATAAATTTTAAAAATAAATAAATAAATAAACCAAGTGCACAAGTATCTGGTACATCTAGTTTCCCAGGCAGATGGTCTTTTTAGACAGTCATACTGCCATTGAGGCTAATGCTGGCAGATGTTTCAGAAAGACTTTTATTTCAGTAAAAATGGAGTTATAGAATTCATTGACGTATTAACCCGGCTGCTCTAACATGATGGTTCTTCAAGCCACACAAACCCCCTTTGATAACCTGATGAAAAATGATGGCATAATTCTCTGCCATTTTGTGATGTAGGGTATATTACATTTATTAAATAACTTTCAAATTCCTTGTAAAATTCCACTCTTATATCCTTGTCTGATGTAGTTTCATTCAGTTGGTCACTTTCTGCCAATGTCATCTTTGTTCACCACAAGATTCCTTATCACCTCCCATGAGTCGATGATCTAATTAGCCACTCTCTCATTGCCATCTTATATTTGGAATGTTATAAATGTTTGTGAGTTATACATCTCAGGAAGATGAAATAGCTGGGTGAAAGAGAACCTTTTGTGTTTTGTCATGTGTACGTGATTGCTCTGACTCGTTTACAGGCTCTCCCTCTCTACCAGATAAATACCGTCATCATCGAGAATTGATGATGCTACTACCAGCACACCGGGATCGGCCTAGCAGTGCTATGTATCCTGCAGCTATCATGGAAAATGGACAGGTAAAGTATGTGTGTGTGTGTGTGTGTGTGTGTGTGTGTGTGTGTGTCTTTGTATGGGTAACCATGCATCTTCATATATGTGTGTATCTTTGTGAGTTAGATTATACCAACTCTGACACAATTAGCTTAAAAACATTTTCTTATATGTGGGGAGTTGTCTTAAAAATTACCTACAGGAAATTAGCTACTTTCCTGATTTGGGCAAAGGATATGTTTAGTATATATTTTGCTAAAAGCCAGTCTTGGGACATTTCTACACAGTCACTGGTTTCACTCTTCCATGCTATTAGAAGTGTTTCTGGAAGGTGCCACAAGTGTCTTCTCTGCCATCCTTGCCACAGTCACAACTCTGACCTGATCAATAATAGTGGGAGAGAAATCAGCCAGTAGGGACATCACCCCTTCCTTATTCTTGTCGCATCATGGAGTCACTTGACAGGAAAGCAGAGCCACTCTTCAAATCAACCTGGAAGAATAGGAAGTCTTCCTTGCAAGGCACTGTGATACTTGATTCCGGGGTTGTAGGGGAGGGAAATGCAGCATCTAGAGACACATATGTCTAGAGAAAAAAAAAGGTTCTTTTTCTGCTAGAAATGAAGGTACTCTCGTCCCCAAAAAGGGATATGCTTGACGTTCTCTCTGTTCCTTCATGTCATAATTATCTGTCTTCAACAAGACCATCAGCTCTTTTCTTTTATTCAGCATCTTATTAAAACTACCATCAATAGTTTAGAAAGAGAAATCCTCCTTCCTAAAGCATATATCTAATGAATGCTGATAGAAGAAGCAGATTACATAGTTTCTTATTTGTGAGAAAACAGCCAGACTTTTGCAAAAAAAAAAAAAAAAAAGCTCTCAGAAATAATTTAATAATTTGGGGATTTAAAAATTCTACATTCCATTATGTATCAGCAAAAGTATATTGTCACTTACTGCTCTTAATTTAAGTATAAATGTATTGTACTATCACATACATGCTGGTAATATACACTCTTCAAGACATATAGGGCTTTATGAGTTAAAACCATTGCTTTAAACTACTTCTGGAAAACCATTGGCTACCAACTCAGGACCTGCAGCAAGGTGTAATTTATTTATAAAATTTATATGGCTACACATCTCACACAAAATGCTTTTGAGTGATGTACAATAAAACAATTAAAGTCAAACACAAAAATCAGTTAAAATCATTAAATAATTAACATAAGTATAAAAACAATATTTCAGAGGGTTAAGATGTTATACATGGTTCAACTAACTCTGCTGCCAGGGGATTCCCCAGGCCTGATGAGAAAACTAAATTTTGTGGGCTTTCCAAAAGGCTGTAAGGTATTTGGGGGGGGGGGTGTTACAGAGGGTAAGTGCCATAGTAGAAAGGGCTCAATTCCTGGATCCCATCAAATGGAACTCCTTAGCAAATGGGACCTGCAGCATGCCTCTTGATGAAGCTCATTGGTAGAAGGAAGTAACTGGTCCCTCAGATAATCTGGCCCCATGTCACATAAAGCTTTAAAGGTCAAATACACTATCTTGAACTATACCCAAAAGCAAACTGTCAACCAGTGCAGCTCATGGAGAGAAGTATAATGTGAATCCTTCTCGGAACACCCATTACTGCCCATATTACTCCATTTTGCACCAGCTGAAGCTTCCAGATGCTTTTCAGGAGCAGCTCCATTTAGAGCATGTTACACTAGTCCATTCAAGAGATGAGGAGGGCACAAGTGACTGTGAGTAGAGCTTCACAATCCAGGAACAGGTACAATAGGCACACAATATGAATTTGTGCACATGACACCTAGTTCCAGTTACTACATGGGTGCTGCATATTGAACCAACTGGTTTTCCTGGAGTCTTTAAAGGCAGCCCCATGTAGAATACATTGTAGTAATCTAATTGGCTTGCCATGAGAGCACAAGTGAGTGTCTGTCATAAAGTCTTCTCTCTCCAGGTAGAGCTGCTGCTGATGCACGAGCCAATGTTTGGCCAAGGTCCACATCACCATAGCCTCCCTTGGCCCCTTCAGTTGAAGCTAGAAATCAAGGAAGGTCTCAAATCATGAACCTGCTCCCATGGGGGAGTGTCATTTATTTGAGATATAACACCAGAGCTGGCAGAGAATCTCACTGAAAAAGAACACACTTCAACTTCAGCCTTAATGCATAAATTGGTATGATGCGATATAGCCAGGAAATCACTAGCGTTAGTTGGATTAACTGGCTGCCTTATCTTCAAGGCTTCAGGCACAGGATTTCTGTGCTGTCACCATAGGAATTTCTAAGATAATGCATTTGCTATTTAACCATTTGAGACCTGAACACAATATGCAAATGAGATCTTTCATTGCAAAAAGGATATTTGATTAATTAATCCTATGATTCTGCATTTGTTATATGCAATATTTTTTTCAATAGTCTTGAATTGCATTTTATCTTTCCTAGCATCCAAACTTCCAGAGAGCCTTATTCCAGCAGGTAATTGGGCCGTGCAAACCTTGCAGTGATCCTAATCTATCTGTTGCTGAAAAAGGTATTGTCTACTCTATTTTATATATATTTTATACATTCAATTACTGATTTTTCTTTGTAAGCTTGATATTAATAGTATTTCATTTTATCTGATACAAAATTATCTTATCACCAATCTGTTAAGTTTATATATCATACATTTTATCCAGATAATATCTCCAGAAAACAATTGTTAAGAAAATAATTTCTGAAGCATCACTAATGCATACAAACAAAAATATATTCAAATTGGATTTTTCAAAATAAATAAATAGCTTTTTCCAACCAGTTGAAAAGAATACTGTAGTTAAGAAATTCAGGAAAACCTGTCAACTTTCCATTTTCTGATTTATTTATTTATTTTGTGACAAAAGGATACACAATGGTTTAAACCAAAAAAGAAGTAAAACAGAACATCTATACTGACAAATCATACAATAAATGGCCATCTGCAAGTTATTTCCAGGATGAGTTGGGCAGAGAGCAAATGATTAAATGTAACTGCACTCTTTTTGCAGTTCCCTTGTGATGTGCTACACAAATACATAGGGAAGAATGTTTGTATTGCCATATCACAACACATGCTTTATCTATCAGATTTTGCTGGAATCTTGGTTTGCTGCAGATGTACCATTTAATTCTCCACTGTAAATAAGCAATTAAAATCAGTTGTCCAATAGCAAACAAGAGATTTTCAAATGAACTATGAAACAGAAATGGCATCTGATGGTATAAGAGGTCGTGCTGAGGCTGAGAAAGAAAGAGTATCTCTGAATCCAAAAAAATAGCAAATGAGGGATTTCATCAAGGGTTTATCAAGTAAATAGACTTAGTCCACCATGAAAACATTTTTTGGGAAAAAAATTTTTTTGAAGAGATTCTTCTTACCAAAGCCATTAATAAATGAGGACTGGAGGGATCTAACTTAAATTCTCAAGATTCTGTGCTCTAATCTCTAATTTTGCTCTCTTAATCATGTTCTTCAGTTAAGAGACTTGATAAATAGGGATTGAGACTATTGAACTATGGAATCTAGCCCCAGAGCACAACATAGAGTTTAAAGAAAAATACAGATTAAAAGAATTGTCTCAAATTACTTTTGAGTTCAAATATATTCCCTTTAGATAAAATAAAATGGCTTGAAAGTGTGGCAAAAAGCAGCTTCGCTCATGATAGGAGCAGAAAACCTGCTAAAATAGAAAGCAACTATATTTTGATTTAAAAAATGGACTTGTGAAAAAATGGTTGTGAAAATGGACGAGATTCTAAGGCTGCAAATTGTCGTCTTTTTCAACTATAGTACTCTCCTTCAAGTGACAAAGTGCTGATATATAAGATTTTGCTAATGTGCTCTATCAGAGTTGCCTAAGATTGTGCTGGTTGTTTAGCAGTCAAAGTAGCAATTCTTCAGACATGATCAATGAAAAATTTTGTGGATAGTTATTAAAACAGGTTTTTTAGGAAAGATCTAATTTGGAATGTAATTACAGATCAGTATAAACTGTGTTTGGTGAAATACTCTTTGTTTAGTGTCATGATTATTGAGAATGTTTTGAAAAACAGTTTAAAGCTATGAAAAACATCTTTATCTTGGTCATCCCGGCACAATAACAGGCTCTGTTGTACATATTGTCGTTTCTTTTCCTAATTTTTCACTTTTTTTTAATCTTGCTTTTCAAAGCAAACAACTTACTACAGTATAATATATATATTACTGGTTTTCAGAGTTGTTCTGTTCTTTCAGTTAAAAAAATCCATTATTTCCTATCATCTACCCTATCCGATAGAAAAATATATGTAATAGCATGGTGCCAGTCCCAAAATACTCCAGAGACTGAAGAAAATAAAAATGTCAGCCTTCAATCCTGTCAAGTCCCAGTAAAACTTGCATTTCACTATTATCCAAATTCAATCTGTTTCCATCCTTCAGCTGTTTCAGCAGCACCGAGCAGCTGGAGTCTGGACAGCGGAACCAGAGAGGCCCGGCCATTCCTGTCTGCTCATGTTGGGAGCATCCTGGTCCCACCAGTGCCTCCCCGAAGTTTGACCCATGGTAAGGAAATGGTCAGGGGGTCTGCAGCAGAACCCCTTCAATGATGCCCAGACAAAATCATGTGAAGGCCGACACAGACATCTTTATGACTTCTCTAAAAGGAAAGGGAATTCTTGGAAGAAAATATTTCCCTGGTTCTCTTGGCTGACAATTACCTAAACCTTGAAAACTTCAGAAGGGCTGTGAATGTGCTTTGGGACTGGACTTAAGATTTTTGAATGATGTAAGGTAACCTGATGTCTTGCTGTAGGTTTTGATGTATAAATATATATATATATATATTGAGCTCAAGTTATTTTTGAAAACAAATATTACTTTAGAAATTTTTATCCTCCTTCTAAGGACAATCAAGTACCAAAAAGTAATTGAGATTTCAGATTGCTAATGAGCCTGTTTTCTTGCCACGGGAGCCTTGATACAATATCAGCTGTTGGTAAAATTCCGCTGCCTTTACCTTTTATTTTCCATTTTATGTTTATTAAAAACATTAGACTGTATTTACATAAAAAGACTGATTTCTGAAAGTGAGTATTGAAGTACTGTCAGGATTAACATTTGCTTTAACCAGTATTGCACAAATTAAGATGTATGAATAGATCAGTGATTCTGCCCTATGTGACTTCTCTTATAAGGTCACTATTTACTACACTTTGATGCCTTCCACCATCATCTTAATGACGCTCCCCCAGCGCTGCCTGCACGAACATTGCGCAAGGTAAATGTTTTGCCATATTTCAGAACCTTCTATCCAGTCAGTTACAGTTCTTTTGGAGGAAGAGTGGCATATAAAATAAATACATTGCTGATATCATTTCTCTGTCATATTATATCACCCTAATATTGCTTAGGTTAGAATTTTAGGATATACTTGTTATACCCAGTTTTGGGAGCGATTAAAAGCAAAAATCAGTATCCCTAAGAGAAACATACAAACTGCAAGCTATCATATAAGGGTCTCCTGGGTTATTTGAGAGTAAGATGCTAAAAAATGAAACGCATCACCAGGATGTTCAATAAATTCCTATTTATTCTTTTATATAAGCTGTTCACCTTGAACAAGTTCATATAAATAGCAGTCTAAATTATGTCCAATTTTTGCTTTTGCTTCCAGACTAATGTGAGAGGATGAGTCCAAATTTTCCTCCTAGCTTAATACTAGGAAAGGAAAAGGATTCTTTGCTGCTGAGCTGTGCTGTCAAAATCAAGGAGGCGATACACAGTATATTCTAAACTTAGCTGAACATCTAAGACACCATTGACAAAACAAGCCTTTTCTTAGCACCTATTTTCATCTCCAGTTATTTGAACATATTGATTCAAAAAGAGATACTTAACTAGGTGTTTAGAAAGAAAATTATTATCTCTATTTTGTTTTCCAGAATTTGTTTACGGTATTTCCCAAAAATTCCATCTTGACTTCACTTTGAATTACCTCTCCACTGAATTGAATTAAAGCTGTATCTTTAATTCTTAAAGATTATTTTCATCTCTAAATATATATCACAAACAGGTGTAGCATTTTAGAAGCTTAGAGGAGGTGAGGTATTATTAATTGAGATGAAAATCAAGAATATCACTAAAATGAGCTGAAAATAGGAATAATATTCTTTTATCTACAGCGAACATATTCACCATGGAAATACATGAAACTCTTTGTATGTTCTAATATATATATGTGTGTGTGTGTGTGTCTGTTTTGCTTTGCTTTGCTTTTCCATTTAAATAGTCTCCTCTTCACCCGATACCTGCATCCCCCACAAGTCCCCAGTCTGGCCTGGATGGAAGCAATTCCACTCTTTCTGGTAGCGCTAGCAGTGGTGTTTCCTCACTAAGTGAAAGTAATTTTGGCCATTCGTCTGAGCCCCCTCCTCGAACAGACACCATGGATTCTGTCCCTAGCCAGACGTGGAACACTGACGAAGACTTAGAGACGCCCTATCTGCCTGTCAGGTACAGTCTCTCAGAACCTGATGTTTTAGAAACTCTCAAAACCCAGCCATGCCGAAGCCACTCCGCTCCATCTGGAGTCATTCCTCAGGACACTATGGACCCTCCAGCTCTACCCCCGAAACCGTATCATTCCCGTCACCCAAACTTGGATAAAGAAGAGGGAATGATTCTGCAAGAGGATGAAAAATATCGAGCGCTGCATCGCAAAATTGCCCAACCAGCTACTTGTGCAAAAGAGGAGCAAGCAAGGGTGGCGTGGGAGCATGGCATCAGTGAGCAATAGGCAGAATTTTCAGAGTATAGTTTGTATGATCATTCCAGGTTTTAGAACCAGAACAGTGTGTGGAAAAATAGAGAAGTTGATTATTTTTTTTCCTACTGCTGTGAGATTGACTGGAAACAGAGAGTGAGCCAGCATGTAAAAAAAAACCTGCTGCTTTCCTTTTTATTTAATTTTATACTTTCCAAGTTTTTAGTGGTTTGGGATTTGTTCTTTTTCCCACACTGGATGCTACATTCCTTCTACAGTTTCGGACAACAGAAGAATTGAATGACACACAGGGAAGTGGCATGGGATTTTTACAAGCTTTTGGTTTGAAGATGTGCACAAATTGAAGCAGTTGCACTAGGAATGTGTTTATTTGTTGTGTTAAATGGATTTGGGGATTCCATGAAATGTCAAGCCAGAAGGTGCAGTTTAAAGTTTGAAGTACAGTGAATTCTGCTTTTGAAGACACTGGATCTTTCAGGCTTCAGGCATATGAACTCTTTTGTGGTGATCTCCCTGCGCTGCCTCAGGAATGCTGAAGCAATCTGACTTACGTTCGCTTGCTATTGCCTATTTTAAATATTTTCTAGTTTGCTAGACTTTTTATTTCAATTTTTTTTCTCATTATTATGGTGTATTCAAACAAGCCGTAGCCCATTTTTGGCCAGCTGTGCCTAAAGAAGCTTTTGGCCCCAGCATTCTTTTATTCTTAAAAAAATAGTGTTGCCAAAAGCCAATTCAGGATTGGAGAAGGAATAACTCTGATTCAGCAGCTGGGAATCTAGTCTAGATTAAAATAAAAGGAAGAACTGAGCGCATACTTGATCTTTGCCTCAAACATCTTGTGTCAAGTTCCCCAAAGACTTTCATGTCACACAAAAAAACAAAAACAAAAAACCCCAACCTTGTTCCAGTGGGTTAAAGTATAGGTATTAAAATCGTGACTGATTGAAAGGCATTGACATACAGAGGAAGGAGCTACTTAATTTGTATTCAAGAACTAGTTCTATCAATTAATTTAAATTGTTGCCATTATACATTATCACCAAAGGAACCATGATACATGGTGCCATATATTATGCAGTAGCTGATAGCGTAACTAAAGTTGGAAAAGTGTCAGAAAATGTATGAAAGGAATACACACATTAAGCAATATGGAAAACTTATAATGCAAAATAGTTTTATATTGATAATTGAAGAATTTTAATCAATGCTTCATTTTCTTATAATTCATTCCAGGTTCTTAAAATGGAAAATATAAATGGAAAAGCTTTAAGATCCAGATTTGTTTTTGTTTTTTGCCCAATCTTTGGAAGGGTAAACATTCCATTTATTTTTATATTTTTCACAAGCACATTGTGAAAAATTTATAAGTTCATGGCTATTCCACAAAAGTCCGAACTAAATTATGAATCACTTAATATTGTAGGAAAATGGATCCTATTCACTACAATAGATTTACTCAGTGTTTCTCCCACAAAGGCAAATAATTAAAATGTCTATCCATTAATAGAACATGCAACACTCGTAGAATGGATTCTCCTTCTTCTGCCCTTTATACTCTCAAGATGTACTCCAGGGGTCTTCTTTGAAGCAGACTTGAGGAGTATAAAAGCAAAAAATAATAGCCAATGTATGAATGAAAGTCTGCTCATGAAATGTAAATAGAATCTAAGAAAAAGTCAAATTTAAAATCTTGATTTTTGTAATTAGTGAATCATTATTTGCAGGGAAAAAGGGGGAAAAAATTAAAGACCAAGGGTATAATGTGTAACAGCTTCCTGTGGCCAAAATTGCTTTTCATGGGAGTACAGGTAGTCCTTGACTTATAACTGTTTGTTTAACAACCACCTGAAATTATGACAGTGCTGAAAAAACTGACTTATAATTGGTCTTTGCACTTAACAACCATTGCAGCCTCCCCAGGGTCATGTGATCAAAATTGGGAGATTGGCACTTGGCATGTATTTGCAATGGTTGCAGCATCCTAGGGTCACATGTTCATGATTTGTGACCTTCCCAGGGATTTCCCACATGCAAAACTAATGGGGGAAGCTGGTTTCACTTAATAAACGTAGCAAAAAAGGATAGTAAAATCAGGTGTGACTCATTTAATGATCGCATCATCTAGAAATGGAGGTTGTTCAGTTACTTTCTTCAGTGTCTCTTGTGTGCATAAGACACATTAAATTCTTAAGTGAAGTAACATGAAAAGTTGATTTTGTTTATAGTCATTTCTTTACTTGGTCCCATTAGCAGCATTTTCCCACTGGTGCCCCCAAAAGCGTATCTACAAAAGCACAGTAGAAAACATAAGTTTCAAATTTTAGAACATCAAACATCCAGGCATCCTAAATTTCACTCATCCAAAACTCCAGCAGGATTCTTAAAGTATATCATCTTTTTGAAGTTTGAGAGAGCGGCAGCACACTCCCAAGCATGTTTAAATAAAATATTTGTTTAAATTCATTGAATCTTGATCTATAATAAGCGATGGTTAGAGGATTGAATTCTGGATGTTAACTATATTTTTTCTTTTTATTTATTTCTGAAATTTTAACAGGTCATATAATATTTATTTAATAAATTTATATAGCTGACCTACTAATGGCTCTCTGGGTGGTAACAAAAGATAAAATATAACACACAAATCTGTCAAGACCACTGAAAAACACTTTACCAACACTTCCCTCAGACAGAAGCCAGGCTCCATTGATATTGTGGCCTATATGCCTAAAGGAAAAGCCAGGTTTTCACAGACTTGTAGAAGCAAAAAAGGTTGAATTATTTCAATGTTCAGAGGGAGATTATTCCATAAGGGATGTGCTATAACAGAGAAGGCACACTTCCTAGGATCTATCAAGTGACTTGTTTCACTGAGAGGATTTGGAACATGGCCATCTTTATGTATTTAGTGGAACAGGCAGAAACAAATGGGGGTAGCAGTACTGCAAGTAACCTGGCTCCGTGCCTCGTAGTTAAGGTGACAATCAGTACCTTGAATTGCACTTGGAAGACTACTGGGAACCAGTGAAGTTTACATAGCAGCAGTGTTAGATGAGCATATTGTATTGTATCCAGAACTGAACATGTCACTGTCTAATTGGGAGGTTGAAAGCCAATTTGATGTAGTGATTGAGGAATCAGGCTAAAAACCAGGAGACTGAGTTCTAATCCTGCGTTGGGCACAAAACCAACTGGGTGACCTTGGCCCAGTCATTTTCTCTCAGCCTTGGAAGGAGGCAATTGTAAATCATTACTGAAAAAACTTGGCAGGACAACTTCAGAAACTTGTTCAGGAAATCTCCAAGACCTGGATATGATTGACCAGAAGAAAGGAAAACCGGGAGGTTATTAGGGCACTGCCTCCCAATCTAGGAACTGGCACAACTGATACATAAGATGTCTCTACTCAAAAGACCTTTTTGCCACAACTGCTATCTGTTCCTCAATCAGAAGTTGAGGATTACCAACTCTGTGGGAATGTCACCCCACCAGAAATTAAGAATGGAAGATCACTAGATTCAGGGGGCTTTAAAAGCCAAAGGTAGTCAATCTCATCAGTTGAGAAAAAGCCTGTTCTTCTCCACCAGACTCTCCCAGCATCCAGGTACTGGCAGACTACCTCAGTAGTATCAATTGGATGGTCCGGGGCAGAGAGTTATAACTGAGTATCATCAGCATACTGATAATACTTGATTCAGTGCCAACAGATGACCTCACCCAGAGGTTTCATGTAGATGTTAAATAGGATTTCAAAGACCAAGTGCATTCATATTACCATAATCACCAAGTTCTGTGGAGAAAGGCCCATTTTGATACATTAATAAGAATTTTCAGGATCCATTATTTTTCAGTTTCTTTTATGATGTTGGTGCGTGTCCACGCAGGTTTGTGATAGCTTTTTAAAGGGAGCATTGTGTATATATCTGTGTGCAAAATATAAAATCAAATTTCCAGTATATTTTAAAAGATTAATGTGAAATTAAGCGTTGTATAATTTGGAACTGAAAGTTCACAAAATACGGTTAGTCCTCAACTTACGACTAAAACTGAGCCAAAAATTTCTGTGGCTAAGTTAAACATTTGTTAAGTGAGTTTTGCCCCTTTTTACGACTTTTCTTGTCACAGTTGTTAAGTGAATCACTGCAGTTACTAAATTAAGTAACATGATTGTTAAGTGAAATTGGTTTCCCCATTGACCCTGCTTGTCAGAAGGTCACATGACTACAGGACATTGCAGTTGTCATAAATATGAACCAGTTGCCAAGCATCTGAATTTTGATCACATGACCATGGGAATGCTGCGATGGTCATGTGAAAAAGTCACTTTTTTCAGTGAAGTAACTTTGAATGGTTACTAAATGAACTGTTGTAAGTCGAGGACTACCTGTATACGGATAGAAGTCAGGCTCTTAGATGCCGTATGCATATTGCTAAAGTTACTTATTAATTTTTCAGATCACCAAATAAGCACTATTGCATGGAATCTATGTGTTAAAGTGGCTTTCTGTAAAAAAGCATCTTTTTTTCTTGGGCACAGGTAGCTAACGGAAAATAATCTTTTTATATTTTTGGACACAAAAATCGCACAATCATGCTGCCTTGAAAAAGGTGTAAGTGCTCCAAAATATAATATGTTGCCTGGAAGAGAAACTTCAAAGACAATGGTGTTTGGAAAATGGGATGAATTCATTCCATCGTGTATTAGTAATAGAGAATATAGTTAAATTTTGTTATTGTAGAGAAAAAAATCCTTCCCCAGGAAATATCCCCATAATCATTTTGACTCCCTATCCCACCCTCGTCCTCATTTTACTGTCAATGGGGACTAAATAATTTTCTATATGAGGAATAATGAGACTGCAGGAACTTTACAAAGGGAGTATAATTTGCTTAATTTTCTCTGTATTATGTCTTATGTAGATATCTCTCATGAATGCTGTGTAGTTGTACAGGAAATTGAGCAAAAAATGTATAGATTGTGATGTCTGGTACTCTGCCCTGTAAATGTGTTTTTTAACCTATGCCAATCTTATTTAAACACACCACACACACATTAAGCCAATTCTCTTTTTGTGTATTCTTGTTCAGAAAACCTGTATTAATTGTAAGGAAAACAATCTAAAGGAAAAAAAAAAATGTACCAGAATCCTAAAGATATTTGGTTGTATATATTGTGATAGCATGTTTCCAGAATCAACAAATAAGTGATGTGAATTTTAGGTGTAAATATCTGATGTTTTGTTTTGGAATTTCTCTTTCCCCACTCAACTGCTGTGATGTGGAATTAAAGATTAATACTGATATTAAAAAGCATTGAGCAAATATATTTTCTGAGTTAGTGATGAAATATTTATTTAGATGGCCAAGTATATCACACCAGACTCTGTACAGGTAATTCTGAAGTTATGAATGTAATGGAGCCTGCCAATTACATTTGTAACTAGAGGATTCGTTAGAGTAAATCATGTAAAATGAACATGAAAACTTTACTGATTGACTGCACCTGTCGTTAAGTACACAAGGTATCTCAGGGAGGGGAAGGCCATGGGAAGCCTAGTGATGGAACAGGCCACCTGTTTAAGACCACCCAAGCCTTCCCCAACCCAGAGATACCTCATGCTCCCCACAATTGCTCCCCCCACAGGCACTGGCCTGTGGAGACTCATCTTGTGAAGATCTAGCAAGCTATCTCTTCTCCAGCTTCTCTGCCGTGGTTTGTGTGTTTGCTCCCAACGCTCCAAAAGCAGAATGGGATGAATGCATCCTGCTTGGCTTCTGGAGCAACACGCAGCCTCGCTGTCTCCCCCAAAGGCTTCCAGTCTCAGCACAAAAAGTGTTTGCATGCCGACGTGAGGCTTTGAAATCGCGTTGCCTCAAAGTGTCTCATCGGCTTGCAAAGGTTTTGCACGGAGATTGGAAGCTTCTGGACACCGTGATCACGCGGGACCTCAGGCACCCATCCACTTTTGCAGAGAATGGCAACCTGAAGTCCCACGAGATCACAGCACCCAGAAGCTTCTATTCTCCACGCAAAATGTTTGCAAGCCGATGTGACACTTTGAGGCAATGCGATTTTGCTGCCCCAAAGCCTCCCATCAGCATACAAACACATTGTATTTATTTATTTATTTATGAGACTTATATACCGCTTTAAGTGCAAGCACTCTCTAAGTGGTGTACACCAGTAAGCAATGTATATATATATATACATTGCCCTCAACAATCTGGGTCCTCATTTTACCTACCTCAGAAGGATGGAAGGCTGAGTCAACCTTGAGCCGGTGAGATTCGAACCGCTGACCTGCTGAACACAGTCAGCTAAAGTGGCCTGCAGTACTGCACTCTAACTGCTGCGCCACCTCGGCTCTTTTGCGCAAGACTGGATGCCTTTGGAGGAGACTCACCAAGGCTGCCCACTGTTCCAGAAGTGACATGCAGTCTAGGTGAGTCAAAGAAGCCGAGCAGGGTGTGCTCGACCCACTCTGCTTTTGGAGTGCAGGGAGCAGGCACAGAAGCCGTGGCAGAGAGGCTTGAGAAGAGAACTCGCTAGGTCTTTGCAAGACCCAGTGCCTGTGGAGGCCCAGTGGAGGGGAGGGGAGAATAGGCAGGGCGAATGTTGCAGTGCTTCTGTCGTCATTCGTAAGGGCGAACAATTACCATAGGGCTGCAACATTTGTAAACTCGGGACTATGTCGTAAGTACTTGGGAGGCTTATGTCACAACTTTGAATGGTCGCTAAGTGAACTGTCGTAATTTGAGGATTAGTTAAATACTTTATATTCCTTTGATCTTTTATACAGGTACTGTAAAATGAAACTATATGTACTAGTAAATCTGAGCTGGAAAATAAGATCAGAAAATAGTGTCAACAATCTGGCAGGAAAATTCTATCTGCCTATTTATCCTAAAGGGATCCTATTTCAGTTGCAAGATTAAGATACATCAAAATGCTTTCCCAAAGACTAATTTGAAGGCCAGTGTCAAAAGCATTCAGAAGGCTAAAATTGCCAAGAGAAAAGAGCTGTCAATTTACTCACCTGTTAAAATGAAAGCGTTTCCTGAATGTTCCTGTATTCTCAATATTTCTGATAGATGATGATTCAGTGATGCAGCTTGACAGACTTATTACATCAGGCCAGTTATGAGCTACAACAATTCCGTAAATCCAGAAACATGCTCTCCAGCCATTTCCAACAGCGATGGGCTTCTGCTGCCAAGTGGCAAAGCACATCCTATGCACTCATACACAGCCATGGCCAGAATATGTGGCATTCCATCATCATGATTAGAGCTAGTTATTTTAACACTCTTAAGAGTTGCCCCAGATAAATAGAGTTAAAATACTGTGTAAATGAGGCATATAGAAAATAAACTTTATTGTTAGTTACCATTGGGGTCAGATTGTATGGATGAATGTTAGGATGGAACAAATATGAAAAGCACAGCCTATACAACATGATGGTATGGAATAGATTTTAGTTCAGGTCTTGTATATGAACTGACACATCTGTCAAAAATATAGTTGATATTGAATGTGACAGATCCTGTGCAAATCTCAGCTCTTCCCAGAAATTTTACTTGTTGCATTCACACAAGTGTTGGTCTAGTAGTTCATTGCTATCTCTATCATATCACTATCATGACTTTAACTGAATGGCTCTTTTTCCTATTTGAGGAAAAAACACCCAGTGGGGCATAATTAGGATTAGAGAGAGCTTTAAGAATGAAAGAAATGTTGGATGAGAGGGTTGTTTTCCAAGACACCCCAGCAATGAAGATTGGAAAATATACTACTTTCAGTAAACAAATGATCACAAATGAAATAATTGATTCAATAATTAATTTGTCTAAGCAATGTCAGAATAGTGGTCATGTACAGAAGAACTGTAATAAAGATCTAACCCTATTAGCTGAACAAAATTCACATTCATCTCCCATCTCTGCATATCAATTAACAATAAGTAGTATTGCAAGGAATTAGCAAATGTGCCTCAATTTACAGCACTTTATCTGGACTCAGACCTGGTTAGCACTTGGATGAAAAATCCCTAGGAAATTGCAAGCTGTAGGCTAGATGGGAAAACTGGAGAAAAAAATAAAATCTGATGACAAATCACTTCTGTATTACTATCTAGAAAATTGCATTGATGCATCCACAGTTACCAAGAGCTGACTGATTCAAGGGTATCTTTATCTTTTTAATCTAATTTATAATACAGGTTAATCAAAAAAGCATAAATCATCAATGTGTTCCTGATTATTTCTAGACTGTATGGATGAAACACTATTCTCCCTTGTCTCTTAATTCAGAATGTGTTCTTCTATGCACAATTACTTCTGTAACCCTAACCTTTGCGGTACTAGTTATGAAGCTCTAAATGAAAAACAAAATAATCCTGCAAATACAAGTTCTATGATACTGTCCTTGAATTGAGAGGCCAAGGGACAATCTTAATTATTACACAATCTGAACATCAGTTTAATGATAAGAATTAGAGGCAACCTTGAAATGAAGGCAGACTCAGCTAAGCTCAGTCTACAGACTGGGCATGACCTCTTGAACTAAAGACCAGTTAACAAAAATCCAGTTGATCCCTTAGAAAGTACAGTTCAGTCCTAATATTGTTAATGTAGCCCTTCTGGACATTCATAATTTGTTTATCTGCTCTTGCAGTCTGAACATTTGGTAACAAACTAAGCTGACTCTTTTACTGTCCTATCTAGAATTTGCATATATCCAAGTTTGGTTGATACTAGACTTTCCTGTGTTCAAATATAGACTGAGCCATAAAAGTGGTCTAAAAGGTAAAAGTAAAGATTTCCTCTGTCCAGTCATATCCAACTCCAGGGCCGGTGCTCATTTCCATTTCTTAGCTGAAAGACCCAGGGTTGTCCAACTTGATGATGTGGCCAGCATGACTATACACTGATTCATGGAACACTGTTACCTTTCCACCAAAGTGGTACTTATTTATCTACTTGTAATTGCATGATTTGATCTGCTGGGTGGACAGGAGCTGGGACGAGCAACAGCTCACCCCATTGTGCAGCATTCAAGATCTTGAACTTGGGCTGTCAGCTTTCCAGTTGACAAGGTCAGTGTCTTTAACCACTGAGCCATTGCACCCTCTAAAAAGTGGTCTCTG